ATTTCGGTTGTTGTTGTTGTTGTTGGCGCAACACTAAAAAGCCCTCTCTAAATCCGCTAGTCTATCAATCGGTTTCGTCAAGCTTAGCTAACCAACGGCAGCCCTATGAAACGTGATGTTTTGACAGAGTCGGACCAAAGTGAGAGGGGTATTAGCTGAGTGTGAATGGGGGCACGTGAAGAGGTGGTTGGTGTCGTGTGGGCTACGGTCACAAGCCGGACATGTGTTTGGTAAGACGCGGTCGAGTCTGCAGAAGTACAAGTTCAGTCGACTGCAGTATTCACACCATAATTAAGCCATAGCTAAGCGCGTCTCTCGAGGTAGCTGAAGCTCTTCGTCTAAGATGGATGGTGGTTGAACTCCAATGATGGCATTTACGGGTTGAGTTTTTTTTTTTTTTTTTAATGCCGATTGTCACTCGATGAATGTTGTTTATGGCTAGCTCATCGGTACAACGATAGGTCCAGTGGTTGTGCGACAGCAGGTTCTAAGTACTGGAATGACTCGGGTTTTACCAAGGCGAACTTATAGAAGGTGGTGTTGATGGCGAATTTAGATTTTCGCCGAGGTACGTCTTAATGTCAAAATGATGTGTTTGTTGTAAAATGAATTCGCCTTGTTTACAACAAACACATCATTTTGACATTTAGTAGTACCGCGGCGAAAATTTAATTCGCCATCAACACCACCTTGTATAAATTCGCCTTGGGTTTTACCCAGTCAAGGGTTGTTGTTTTGATAATATAAAGCTGTTTAGATCGACGTTCTCTACCAACCGTGAGTTCTCAATCATAAGATCAACTGCACGTGTGTCACAAAAATGCAACGAAACTCTCTTTGGATGGATATTGAGCGTTTCTCGCACAGGGTGTACATCTATTTTTGTTAATTTATGCTCGATTTTAGTTTTGTATTATCGTTTATTTTTTAATTTAAACTTGTAGTATATCTTATCTTATTACGTTGGTCATAAAAAAACACTTGAATTTTCGTCATTGCTTTTTGTTAGTTATTTAGTGTTCTTCTTACTTTGATGAGTCATAAGCGCGCTGGCTTCATATATGTACAGGAATTTATTTTCAAATTATTAACGTTTTAGTATTCTATGAGTGATATTTACTTAGTTGACTGAAATAAAGACAAAACTCGAGAAAATAAAAAATTAAAGATATTAAATCATTACTTTACAGAAACAGCTATATAGGGCAAATTTTTAATAACTTTTCATATTTTGCTTAAATCTTTCCTATATCGAGTTCTATTGGAACTTTATTAACGGCAATCACTTTTTAAGGCGTTAAAACTGAAAAAAACCTCAAGCGCAAAACCCTTTTTTAGAATCTGACGCGCACACAGCCCATAAATACGAGGAAGTATTACCTACCGTCATAAGTCCACGAAATAGATAACCACAAATACATGCAAACATACGAGGGGAGACTGAAAAGTTTTTAGCCTAAGTATAGTTACCGTTAAGTGTCATTAATGTCTTGTACTGCGTGTTACTAATTGCTAATACACTTAGGCCCAATTTCAGATTATACATTTGATCTGTACTTAAATAGCCAATATTGGCTGTGTTTGTACCAAACAACCAAGACTGATAGGTACGTTGTTTTATCAATCTTGCCAAAAAACAATCAGCTGTTCAGTACAAAATGTAAATAAGCAAACAAATGCAACAACAATTTCAAGTAGCCTAATCAACAGTATTGCGACTTGTTTGGCATATTTGAATAAAGTTGATCTCAAACTTAACGAAAGTTAAATGGCGTTTCAATAACAATACAAAATTAAACTTAATGCAGTTTAAATATTCATTTGAAATTGGCGCTTAGTAGTATAAAGTCCGAATTTCATGTCATTATCGTAGTAACGCTATCAGTAATTGAGCCGTAACCATCACCATGTGTGAGTCATCCGCGCATTGTACGAAATTAGAGTACAGAACTGTCATCAAATTCCTCACAAAAGAACAGATGTCTACAGTGTATGGGGAGTCTGGACCTTCATTTGCCACCATCAAACATTGGAGCCGAGAAGAATTCAATCATGGCAGAACGTGGCTGGAAGATGATCCCAGTTCAGCGCGTCCAAACCCTGCCTAACGGCTTCCCCCTTTTTTTTAATTGTGAAGGTATTCTATTCATCGACTATCTTCCTAAAAAAAAAAAACTACAATGAACAGAGACTATTATGCGAATGACAAAAATGCGTCAAGTGGTTATCGAGAAACGGAGATCCCAAAGGAAGACTCCGCACAGCGTTGCCAGGTTGACGTTTTTAACGTCATTTGGACGTTTTTTGTATCCTGTTGACGTTTGGACGTTTTTTGTGTAAAAAATGACGTTTTTTAACTTCCCAGTAACTTTTCTTTGTTACTAAATCTTGCAAGAGGAACTGATTTTGAATCATTTTCTTAATAAATCTTTACAATCTTTGTGTTTTGCTGCAGCTGCTTCAAAAGATTTTTTTTTGATTCTTGGACTAAGGATCCCGTGTTCAAAGGCTGGTTGCGTAAACACTTGAGGTTACGAGGCTGGCTGTAATGTTTGCAATTGCACATTAAAAGCCGAATCAGGAAGAGCTATTGCAACACGCACGCTCACAAAAGCATCAAAATAGCTGTGCAGCATAAAACGTCAGAAAAAAGTAGGCGACTTTTTAAAGACTACATTGAAAATGTAATGAACGCAAAAAAGACTGAAATATTGCTATGCTCCTTCCCAGCAGAAAGTAATTTAGCATTTTCGACAACCGAAATGTCTACAAGAAACAAAACATTAAATATCAACGCCCTTCAAACTTGCACATTATTGCCCTGAAATTTAATGGGCTATCAAACTGCATACTCAAAAAAAAATCTATAAAATCTGAATTAAAAGTTGAAAATCTAGCTGAAAATTTGCAGATTTATTATAATTTTTGCACAGTTTTTGTGGATTTATATTTTGTTTGTTAAAGAGCTTGGATTTTATGGAAAAATAATATACATTAAATAAACGAAAGAGATACAGCCAAAATTCATCAAAATGTTGATGACTTAATCAGCTGATGACAAGTGTATGTATAAAATTATTTTTATATTAACGATCTCAAACCCGTTTACAATGAATTTTAAATGTGCTCTGTCGAATTGACATTTTAATATACCTTACGTACATATATACCATTGTACACAATAAAAGTTGAATAAGAACAATTTTTTCTACATTCATTTGAAAAAGACGTTTTTGGGTAGGAAATGACGTTTTTTCAGACCAAGAGTGACGTTTTNTGTTACTAAATCTTGCAAGAGGAACTGATTTTGAATCATTTTCTTAATAAATCTTTACAATCTTTGTGTTTTGCTGCAGCTGCTTCAAAAGATTTTTTTTTGATTCTTGGACTAAGGATCCCGTGTTCAAAGGCTGGTTGCGTAAACACTTGAGGTTACGAGGCTGGCTGTAATGTTTGCAATTGCACATTAAAAGCCGAATCAGGAAGAGCTATTGCAACACGCACGCTCACAAAAGCATCAAAATAGCTGTGCAGCATAAAACGTCAGAAAAAAGTAGGCGACTTTTTAAAGACTACATTGAAAATGTAATGAACGCAAAAAAGACTGAAATATTGCTATGCTCCTTCCCAGCAGAAAGTAATTTAGCATTTTCGACAACCGAAATGTCTACAAGAAACAAAACATTAAATATCAACGCCCTTCAAACTTGCACATTATTGCCCTGAAATTTAATGGGCTATCAAACTGCATACTCAAAAAAAAATCTATAAAATCTGAATTAAAAGTTGAAAATCTAGCTGAAAATTTGCAGATTTATTATAATTTTTGCACAGTTTTTGTGGATTTATATTTTGTTTGTTAAAGAGCTTGGATTTTATGGAAAAATAATATACATTAAATAAACGAAAGAGATACAGCCAAAATTCATCAAAATGTTGATGACTTAATCAGCTGATGACAAGTGTATGTATAAAATTATTTTTATATTAACGATCTCAAACCCGTTTACAATGAATTTTAAATGTGCTCTGTCGAATTGACATTTTAATATACCTTACGTACATATATACCATTGTACACAATAAAAGTTGAATAAGAACAATTTTTTCTACATTCATTTGAAAAAGACGTTTTTGGGTAGGAAATGACGTTTTTTCAGACCAAGAGTGACGTTTTCTCATGACGAAGACCTGGCAACACTGACTCCGCAAGACAATGCGACTTATATAGAAGGTTAAAAAAAAAACACTTTTTATTGTAGATAATTAGCAAAAACTGCGAAAAAATTTTACAGTACATTTTGGAAGCAACCAAGTCCAACTTGTATCAATATGTATGTGCTAATAGGTGGATACATACATATGGACACAAGTATTCATGATCGAAAAGCCTTATCAACAGCTCTAAGCTTATTTATTTTTTTTTTTTACAATTTGTCGGCCTACTCATAAGTCTTGCCGGCGCCAGATCAGAAATCATAACATAATTGATCTTGAAAGGCTAATTCTTAAACAAAATTGTAATTTTATTAGAAAACTTAATTAAACTAAAATTACAAATATAAAATTTATTTTCCTCATTTTTATTACGTATGTATGTACGTACAAAAATACACTTCAAATTTCTTGCCAGTTGACCATNGATAAGTCTTGCCGGCGCCAGATCAGAAATCATAACATAATTGATCTTGAAAGGCTAATTCTTAAACAAAATTGTAATTTTATTAGAAAACTTATTTAAACTAAAATTACAAATATAAAATTTATTTTCCTCATTTTTATTACATATGTATGTACGTACAAAAATACACTTCAAATTTCTTGCCAGTTGACCATTGACATCACGTTCACATGCAATTTACGCAGATTACAAGTATTACAGCGACTAGCGTAACTTATTTTGCAGCCCCTTCCTTGTAAACATTTCCCGTTAAATAGGAAAACTTTATAGGAATTTCACATATGTACTAAATTTTCCCACTTTCTCATTCGTTTCGCAGAAAATGGCGCTCAGTCCCGAATCGCCTTCTTATGCGGGTTGGAAAGTTTCACCGCTGCCACTCTACTTTGACGTATACCTCTTCAATTGGACAAATCCGGAAGATTTCTATGTGGGCTCTGGCAGGAAGCCACGATTCGAGGAACTGGGACCATATCGTTTTCGAGAAAAACCAGATAAAGTGGATATTCAGTGGCATAATAGCAATAGTTCTTTGTCATTTCGCAAATATGCGGCATTTTATTTTGATGAAGCCAACAGTAATGGCAAACTATCGGATCGGGTAACATCGGTCAATACAGTGGCGCATGTAAGCATAGATGACTTAAAATATTCAAGCAGCAAATTTGAGTAAGAACCAAAATAATTTATGTTTTCTTTTTTTTTTTAGGGTGCTGCCTTGAAAGCCGTTAATGGGTCATATATCCAAAAGCGTATATTAACAAATGTTTTAAAAATGTACAAGGAAGGTTTAACGGTTACCAAAACCGCTGACGAGTGGATGTTTACGGGCTATCGTGATCCGCTAGTAACAATGGGCAGTTTTGCATCGAAATTCGTCAAAGATATTGTGGTGCCATTCGATCGTATCGGCTGGCTGTACATGGTAAGTGTTTTCAATTGTTGACTGTTTATAGGAGAAAGACTGATAAATGAACTAATAAACATTAGTAGTACGATTATTACTTAGTTACTAGCAATGTTGGGCACACTTATTCATATTCTCAGTATTTGCAGATGTCTACATACTCAGTTAAAAGAAACATAGGTATTTAGGAGTTGATAGATATAAGAGTAAAAAAATAATAAAAAATTACAGTAATTAGCAGACGCTAAACCTACCTTACCTCAACTCACCTCATCTTTACTCATTTCAACAGCCCATCTCAATTCATTTCAACTCAACTAACTTCAATTCACCTCAGCCCAATTCACCCCACCCTCAACTCACCTCACCCCAACTCACCTTAACTCACCTCACCTCACTTCAACTCACCTTAACTCACCTCACTTCAATTCACCTCACTCCAACTTACCTTATCTTATCACTGCTCAATCTGCTCTGCTTCAATCTCGGAATAATTTTGAAAATCCCGAAGTAGCCTTGAAAAGCCCGTTTTGTTTCCGTGAATCGCGAAAATCTTAAAAATCGCGAAGTAGGCTCGAAAATACCGATAAGAAAAATCCCGGCGTAGTCTCAAAAAGCACAAAATATCGCCGAAAACCCTGAATTAGTCTCGAAAGTTCCGAAATAGGTCCAGAAATCCCGAAAGTCTTTAAAACCCCGAAATTATCCCGACCATTTCGAAAAAATCCCGAAAAACCCGAAAATCCATGAAATCCCGAAGTAGTCTCTAATATCACGAAAACATCACTAGAATTCCGAAAATCCCGAAGTAGTCTCTAAAATTCCGAAGTCTAAATACTTGTGTCCATTTTTTCTTGCAGCGCAACGATAGCTCCGCTTATGATGGCCACTTTAATATCTATACCGGCGCTGATGATCTAAGCAAAATGGGTCAAATTTACGAATGGAATCATAAAACACACAATGGCGTCTATGAGGGTGAATGTGGTCGCATTAGAGGTTCGATGGGTGAATTTTTCCCACCAAATCTTACTCCAAAAGATACAGTAGAAATGTATTTGCAAAACTTGTGCCGCACAATGCCATTGGACTATATGGAAACAGTGAAAATTCATGGAATCACAGCTTATAAATATGCTGCCACCGAAAGGGCGCTTGATAATGGTAAGTCGAATAAGCATTTGAAATATAATTCAGCGATTAGGCAACAAGTGATCTGTGTTATGCAAGTAAAGGGTCGCTTACCTAGTATCGCGAGTGATGTCGCTCCTTTTGGTAGCCACTATCTTTAATATATTAACATATGAATGTTGTATTATATTCAAGCATTTCTATATTAATAACCTTCTTGTATACATTCTACACACTTTTGAATTGAGCACTTTTTCACTTACACCGCGCTTACAAAAACGAAAACTAAAGTGTCACAAACAGCTGATTTACTTAGCTGGTTCACATTAGTGAATTTCCAAACCATTGTCTTCTGGGATAATAAAACCCTTTTAGGAAATTAATAGGCACTGCCAACTGAAGAATATTTCATAGGGAACTAGAAAATTCTAATCAAAATTTTTATAGCTGTTGTTGTTGTAATACCAATAATGTAAAAGGGTTGGCTTTCCAGAACGGAACCAATCGAGATTTCAGCGAAATTATATGGAATTTAGTCATGAAACTTGGTCAGGATATTGGGGGAGGCTTTCTCTACATGAATATATCACTCTCACAAATTAGTTGCTAATAGTAGGTGCAATCCCGTATTCCTCGGACTCGGACTAGTAAAACTGTCAAAAAGTAAAAATTCGCTCAGAGCGAGAGAGTAACATTGAAAAGTTCGTGATCGCTTTCTAGTAAAAAATGGTAACTTCTGTCAACTTCAACATGACCTCCAAATTTTGGTTGTAAGTTTTTGCTTATTTTGTATGTAAACACACTCAGCTCGCACATGTAAATAACCAAAAATACTTTCAAATTCATTAGAATCCACTTAAACAAGTAATTAAATACTTTTCAACATGAATTAGCAGAGTGCACTTTTCTTTTGTTTACAATTTGGTTGCCAAACACACTACAGCTGATCGTTTGACACATTTACAAGAATTTACCAGCAAAAAATTCTCGGACTAAAACTGGTAACTTCTGACAGAGAGAGAACCGTTTTTACTCTCTTTTTTGTCCTCTCAATAGTCAGAGAACCGAGTACGGGATCGATTTCCAGTAAAATCTGACTTGTTCTGACTAGTCCGGACTCGTACGGGATCGCAACTAATAATAGATTGGCGCTTACACATACATATGTTAGTGTTTGGCCGAGCTTCTCCTCCGGCTTGTGGGGTGCGCCCTTGAAGTTGTCACACAAGGCGGAGGAACCTGCAGTTTTACTCCGAACGGCGATTGAATTTTTATGAGAAGCTGCTTTTCATGGCAGAAATTCACTCGGAGGTTCGCCATTGCCTGCCAAGGGACGACCGCTGTTAAGAAAAAACCTTTTTCAATATTTTTTGTGATGTTGCTTTGACCAGAGGAGTGAAAGCGCGCACTGCTTACCACTACACCACAGCGGCCGACATTATTTTCATATATAAAATGTTAAAACCAAGGAAAACTAAACATTTTATAGATTTCGAAACTCCCTCAACCACCAGAGGGAGTCTTCATCATCTCGTACACTGACGACTGCCCAATATTGGCATCCCGCAAAGGAATTGATGACCTGTGCTCGAAACTAAACGCTTACCTTTCCTAACTTTCCTGCATCTGCGCTGCAAGGAGCCTAACCCTCTCTCCTACGAAATCCACAGCAACCATTTTACAACCTGGACGAAAGAGGGCAGACTACCGATGGCTATTTACGTCGATGGTGAACCGATTCCGAAACTGAACAACCAAAAAATTCTTCGTAGTAACCAGGTCCTTCTCGGCGCACACAACCGCAAGTGTCAGTAGAGTATAAAACCGCAACAAAGTCCTCAAATCGCTCGCCGGTAAAACTTGGGGCAGATATAAATAAATGTTATCGACAACATTCAAAGCAAATAGATGGCATGTTTGGTCAGCGGGACAAGTAGGGGCCGTGTATGAAGCTACAGAACTGCCATAATACAGTACTCCTCACTGCCGCGGGATGCATTTTAAAATCGCCAGAAATCCATTTACATAGTGAGGCCAAAACGCTCCCAGTAAGGGAGCACAATATCATGCTTAGCAAGCAGTTCTAAGTTGGGTGACGTGAGCACCCGAATAGGCACTTGCGGCAGAATGGAGAAACTTCTAAAGTTCGCTCGCCGTAAGCTCTTGTTCATGTATGATGGCCAGTTAGTAATACGCAGTGGATGAGGATTCAAACAACTCAGAACGGCACGTTTACAACTGACACCCCTCCAGCCAATTTTTTGATGCCGAATCGCCTCCTAGACACATCCAGAACTATATCATATACATATCTTCATGACTAAAACTGAATAAGACCGACTACAAATAGGTCTTGAACATCATAAGTTTCTGTCGGTGGGTACCTGTCTATCGGGCTGACCCGGAAGCACGACGGATCAAAACTATGCGTCCCGAAATTAAAGCATTTCTGTACCAATTAGCAGTGTGAGGCGGGCACACTAACCACCTTGGTCGGACATGAAACCTATAGCCTCTGCCGTACTCTAGCCCCGGCGTCTGGTTGCGATCTAACTTCACCTCGTGAAGACATAACCCAACTCTACCCGCATTTGCGTACAAAAACACAGCTACCACGATACTCCTCGAAGAAGCCTACCGCAATGAACTCTCCATGGTACCAGAATTAAGTCCCAGGTCAGACCTCGTGTATCCGAGACAACTACCAGTTAAGCTTCCACTCAGCTCTTGGACTGACGGTCGGTGACTAGGGTCCTCGGGGTTGTCAGGCCCGTCATTCCACTTATGCGGAATGCCCTTGCGTGATTACATACATATGCACATCGAAAGTCAATCAATACCTTCATCAACTCTCGCCCCATGAATGCCATCATTGTAGACCAGCCATCATCTGTCCTACACTTGGAGCTCGAGTTGCCTGGTGAAACGTTACTCGATGTCCAAAATATGAAGGTGTCCCGCACTACACTAACCATCCCTTTGCATACCCACGAAAACCTACTACAAGACCCCCCACCCCTTTAGACCAACCTTATCAAACAGCCAGTACATTTCCTGGGCCTAACATTCTATGAGATTGACAACAACACTTAATGAACTCATATTATCTTGACCCAGAAAACCTACTATTTATTAGAGTTTTAACTTGCATCTTTCATAGAGTTTAATAGCAGCCTATACTCCTGGTATCACATAATCTTAACCTTCTCACATTTTTCTTTACAGGCACACTCTATCCGGAAATGAAATGTTTTTGCGTGAACGGTGTGTGTGAGAAATCGGGCGTTATAAATTTAGGGCCCTGCCAATATGATTCACCGACTTACACATCCTATCCACACTTTTACAAGGCTGATCCTAGTTATTTGGAAGCGGTTGAAGGTCTCTCACCCGATCCAACCAAGCATGAGTTCTTCATGACACTCGAGCCAAATGGTGGCGTGCCCATGGATGTTGGCGGTGGCTTTCAGGCAAACTATCTAATGTCACCCGTGCCAGGCATGCCGTAAGTTGATTGTTGAAAGCAGTCCGACAAAGTTCGATATTAATTGTCTGCCTTTTTTTTCTTTACAGTCCCTTCGATAACATTCCACGCACGTTTATACCGCTTATGTGGGCTGAGGAACGCGTGCGCGTCACACCAGAAATTGCCAGCCAAATCGCTTTGGTGCCACTCATCGTTACACTGGGTCAGGTGGCGACTGGCATTATGTTTGCCATTGGGGTTTTGCTCATCTGTTGGTATCCAACAAAATATTTATCACACGTTTGTCGTGATCCGAAGAGTAAAAACGCTCTACTCAATCCGATTGTGAACACAACAGTGCGCTCGATTGCGTTAACGCCTTTGCATAAGCCACAAAAGGAGGTCGTTAGGTTGCTGGACAACAGTCAATTAAGCTCCGAAGTTGTACGAATCGAAGGTATGTTGGAGGCAAGCGAAAGTTTACTACGGCCGCCACCAACACCACCACCACCCTCATCGCTTCATGTGATAAGTAGATAGTATGCTCATCAGGACAATGAATAAAGTGCTCAGCGCGAGAGAGCGCCTGCCATTGTTTAGTGTTAATATGCAATTAAATTGAAAAACAAAAAACGAACAGAATTATAGTTAACTGTGCTAAACTGTAAATAATGAAAAACACAAGCAGCCTCATAGACAGTAGAATCCAAAAAAAAAAAATCACCAACGTGCATACTTAATTCTCTTAAGTAGTATGGTATCTAATATTGCTAAAAATAAGTCCATGTAAAATAGTAATTGTACTAGATGCTTGTAATGGTTAATTTATAAAATAATAATTTTTATATTCAAAACCGGTTCATGAACATTTTGCGTACTCACTGTAGCTCTGAGATAGAAACGAATTGATACAACAAATTTTACAAAGAACACCAGCGTCAAATGACAATCTAGTGTATAAAAAGTGAAATGTATATGCAAATATACATACAAATGTACATTAGGGTGCACCACAAAAAAAAAATTGCGGTTTTTCCACCGGAATTTTAAAACGTTTTATATTTTAAGACTGCCGCCAAAATATACTTAGATTTAGTGAGCTAGACCGATTTGAAAATAACTCCAAAAATTAAATTATGTAATTTGATTCCGTTGAAACAAATTTTTATAAATACATATTTACGCAGACCTTTCCAGCTAAAGTCTTCTATCGTCTTAGGGGATTTTTTAGGAAACGTATCTTTGAAAACTAATTTTATTGATAAAAAGGCTCGATTTTTAGAAGTATTTTCAATTAGGTCCAGCTCACGCAAATCTTAATAGTTTTCCGAAATTTTTTGGCGAAAGCCTTAAAATATAATAAATGATATGTTTCTGATAGAATGACAGAACCTATTTTATGGAGAACGATGCACCCTAATGTACACACATAATTATGTAAAAATTATTGCATTCTAAATTATTGCTATCTTTCCTTAAACGTAAAAGTCTGCTCAATCAATTGTTATCAATATTATTTCTATGAAAAATTTTTTATTAAATAAAAAAATATAATTTATTGGCATGGCATGTGACATTAGCTCATCGACATACATATCTATTTTACTCCTCATTTTCCATAACCTTATTACCATCACATATGTATAAATATATAAACGTACATACATAGTTACTTCCCACTGTAGTTTTTAAGTCTAAGAAAACAACAAAAAGTATTTTGAATTCAAAATTTATTATTATTAAATATTCCCTGAAATTTGGAAACTAAATTAAATTATTGAAGAAGATTATTAGTTTTTAAGTTCATAAATTGCTGATCTGTTTTTTTTTTGATATTTTCTTATGCTGATTTAAAATTTTTTTTATGCATTAAGCAAGAAAAGTGAGGAGACAGAACAGCAAAAAGTGATAAGCGAGAAAGCTTCCTGAATAAGAAACCAAAAGAAATTTTAATATGAAACAAAATAAAGATTATTACATAAATAAACTGTAATAAAGAATGAAAATGTGTTTTTTTTAGTTTTTTCTCAAAAAAAAAATAAAATATGTATGTTATACCTACATAGTTTAGGTGGCAAACTGCAAAACAACTGGAAAACTTTTTCTCAAAACTTTTTTGTCGGAGTACGGTTCATTGTTTAGTTCGGCACATTTGGTTCGGTTCTGAAGCGAAGAGCTGTTGATATTATTGCCTACATAAGAAACTATGGTTCTAAGCGGGAATTATACTTGAAATTCGGGGCTGAATACATATAAAATAGAAAACCGCAACCATAATCATCAAGTCATTCGGAAAGAAAATCAATTTCAATTTTATTCCACCAGAGAGTGTTCAGAACATTTTTGTCGCGCTCTCAGTGGGACAGAGTGGGAAAAGAACGGGCAAAAATTACCAACCAAAACGTTCCGGACAGGAACGTTGAATCCGCCTTAGGAAATGAAAAAAATATATATTTTTTCTTTGTTAAACCATAAAAATTTAATTGAATTGAAATAATAAATGAAAAATGAATAAAATAAATTTCTATAAATTGCATTTAATTTAAAAAATATGTTTCTTCTTAAAACAATAAAATATATAAACTAAAAGAAAATTAAATAAAAAAATACAAAAATAATAATTACAAAAAGCTGAAAAATATAAGTTTCTAGAAATTAAATGGAATTTAAAAAAATATTTTCCTTTTTAAAACAATATGAGCTAATCATTAAATTTAAAAAAAAGTAAGAAAATAAGTTTCTAAATACCAAAAAAGTTTTTAATCCAAAAAATCGGAAAATTAAAGGAAAATTTAATTAAAAAAAGAAAGAGTAAAAGTTTAATAAAATGAAAAATATATTTTTTTAAACAATAAAATATAGAACTTGAATGAAATTAAAATTTAAAAACAAACACAAAAAATTTCACCTGCCTTAGAACTCGACTTCGATTCTCCCGAACGGAACACCGATGCTTCGCTTAATGAAATTTAAAAAATGTGTTTCTTTTCAAACCAAAACAATCTAAAAATTAAACAAAAATTTAATGAAAAAAGAGAGAATAAATAAGTTCCTAAAAATTAAATGAAATCAAGAAAATAGTTATCTTTTCCAAACAATAAAATCTAAAAATTAAACGAAATTTAAGTTTAAAAGCAGAGATAAAAAAAATTCCCTCACCTGAGGACTCGTTCTCGGATCTCTCGAACGGAACACTGCCATTGTGCCTGTTAAAACAGCGCGAGCCAAATTATGTACAAGTGCTTTATATTAAAAGAGCTTTTCACCATGAAAGTTGGCAAGAGAGCTTTTTATTTGTAACCCTTCCGCGCCAGAAGAAATAACGTCGTTCAAACTATCTTGCCTACTGTCTTTAAATTTTCTTACAAAAGGCTTTTAGCCAGAATTTGCCTGTTGGTTTATTCTGGCACGAAAGTCTTACAAAAAAACTCCCTGCCAAATTTCATGGTGAAAAGCTCTTTTTACCTCCCTTTTATTAGCTCGGGNATATGGGCATTCCCATGGTGGCGCACGTGACAGTCGTACGATTTCAATGTGATACAAAAAAGGAATACCATTTGTTTTCTTTAACTTTTTTGGGCCATTGTATAGCACATAATTAGCTCTATATTTAACCGAAAAATGAAATCAATCGAACTACTTGGTCCTGAAATATAAGCATTTAAAGAGAGGGTCGTTACGTGACAAAATATGGAAGTTGATTTTTTCTTTTCTTACAAAATCGCAAAACTCTGCGAATTGTGGATGCCTATTTTTATGAAACTTATTTGAATATGATTTGGAACAATTCTAGTTGTTTTTAGAGTTTTTTGAATTAAT